AATTAAAGGCTTCCAAGAATTCAATGAAAATGAATGTACAACACACCCAAACTTATGGGATACTATGAAAGGAGTACTAAGAGGAAAGTTCATAGTGCTAAATGCCTACATAAAGAAGTTGGAGAAATCTCACACTAGCAACTTAACAGCACACCTGAAAGCTCTAGAAGAAAAAGAAGCAAACTCACCCAGGAGGAGTAGATGCCACAAAATAATAATAAAAAAAAAAACTGAGGGCTAAAATCAATAAAATACAAAGAGAACAGTACAAAGAATCAATGGAACAAAGAGTTGGTTCTTCGAGAAAATCAACAAGATAGATAAACCCTTATCCAAAGTAACAAAAGGCAGAGAGAGAATATCCAACAAAACCAGAAACAAAAAGGGAGACATAACAACTAACGAGGAAATACAGAGAATCATCAGGTCATACTTCAAAAATCTGCACCCCACAAAAAATGGGAAATCTAAAATAAATGGACAATTGTCTGGATAGGTAGCATATACCCAAAATAAATCAAGACCAGATAGATAATTTAAATAGACCTATAACTCCTATGGAAATAGCAGTCATTAAAAGCCTCCCCCCCCCAAAAAAAGGGCCCAGGGCCAGATGGTTTCAGGGCAGAATTCTACCAGAATTTCAAAGAAGAGCTCATACCAATACTCCTCAAAATTTTCCACACAATAGAAACAGAAGAATCATTGTCAAACCCTTTCTATGAGGCTATAGTTATCCTAATACCCAAACCACACAAAGATGCAACAAAGAAAGGGAATTACAGACCAATCTCCCTCATGAACATTGGTGCAAAAATACTCAATAAAATACTGGCAAACCAAATTCAGGAACACATCAAAAAAATCATCCTCCATGATCAAGTAGGCTCCATCCCAGAGATGGAGGGATGTTCAACAATGTAATCCATCATATAAACTGAAAGGGAAAAAAAACACATGATCATCTCATTAGATGCTAAAAAAAGCCTTTTACAAAATCCAATATCCCTTCATTATAAAAATCCTGGAAAGATCAGGAATATAAAGAACATACCTAAACATAAAAAAGGCAATTTACAGCAAGCTGACAACCAACATCAAACTAAATGGAGAGAAACTGAAAGCGATTCCACTAAAATGTGGTACAAGACAATGCTGTCCACTCTCCTCATATCTATTCAATATAGTACTCAAAGTTCTAGCTACAGCAATAAAACAATGAAAAGAGATCAATGGAATACAAATTGGAAAGGAAGAAGTCAAACTTTCACTATTTGCAGATGATATATAATAGTCTACATAAGTGACCCCAAAAATTCTACCAGGGAACTCCTACAACTGATAAATACCTTCACTAATGTGACAGGATACAAGATTAACTAAAAACAAAAAACAAAACAGTAGCCCTCTTATACACAAATGAAAAATGGGCCGAGAAAGAAATCAGAGAACATCACACTTTACAATAGTCACAAATAATATAAAATACCTTGGGGTAACTCTAACCAAAAGTGAAAAACCTGTATGACAAGAGCTTTAAGTCCTTGAAGAAAGAAATTGAAGAAAATATCAGAAAATGGAAAGATCTCTCATGCTCATGGATAGGTAGAATCAACATAATAAAAATGGCAATCTTACCAAAAGCAATCTACAGATTCAATGCAATCCCATCAAAATCCCAACACAATTCTTCACAGACCTCAAAAGAACAATACTCAACTTCATATGGAAAAACAAAAAACCCAGGATAGCCAAAACAATCCTTTAAAATAAAGCAACTTCTGGAGGCATTACCATCCCAGACTTCAAGCTCTACTATAGAATTATAGTAATAAAAACAGCTTGGTATTGACATAAAAACTGACATGTGGACCAATGGAATCAAATTGAGGATCCTGACATTAATCCACACACCTATGAACACCTGATTTTTGATAAAGAAGCCAAAATTGTACAATGGAAAAAAGAAAGCATCTTCAACAAATGGTGCTAGCATAACTGGACGTCAACATGTAGAAGATTGCAAATAGATCCATACTTGTCACCGTGCACAAAACTTAAGTCCAAGTGGATCAAGGACCTCAACATAAATCCAGCTACACTGAATCTAATAGAGGAGAAAGTAGGAAATAGCCTAGAATGCATTGGCATAGAAGACCACTTCATAAATATAATACCAGTAGCACAGACACTAAGAGCAACTATTAATAAATGGGACCTCCTGAAACTGAGAAGCTTCTGTAAGGCAACGGACACAGTAAATAAGACAAAGGACAGCCTACAAAATGGGAAAAGATTTCACCAACCCCACATCTGACAGAGGGCTAATCTCCAAAATATATAAAGAATTCAAGAAACTAGACAGCAAAATAACAAATAATCCAATTTAAAAATGGGATACAAATCTAAACAGATTCTCAACAGAAGAATTCCAAATGACCGAAAGACATAAAAGGAAATGCTCAACATCCTTAGTCATCAGGGAAATGCAAATCAAAATGACTCTGAGATATCATCTTAAACCTGTCAGAATGGCTAAGATCAAAAACACTGATGATAGCTTCTGTTGGAGAGGGTGGGGAACAAGAGGAACACTCCTCCACTGTTGGGAATGTAAACTTGTACAGCCACTCTGGAAATCAGTATGGCAATTTCTCAGAAAATTGGGAATCAATTTACCTCAAGACCCAATGATACCACTCTTGGGTATATACCCAAGGGTTGCTAAATCATACCACAAGGACACTTGCTCAACTACGTTAATAACAGCATCATTTGTAATAGCCAGAACCTGGAAGCAACCTAGATGCCCCTTAGTTTGCTCGCCCCACCTATACGTCCTGCCTGGCTACTGGCTAATCAGCGTTTTATTAAACCAATCTGGGTGACAAATCTCTACAAGAGGATTATTCCACAGCATCTACCATTTAAAAAGTAAAGAACTGTCTCTACAAGCAATGCTTGGGACACTACTCACATGTGTGCAAAATGATGGAACTACTTGCCTAATGCGAAACAGAAAAGCAACTCATACTGGATCAAAGACAGAAATCCCTAAAAGCAAACCTAGGGCAAATCATTCATGACATTAGCTTTGGGTATCAAAGGCCCAGGTAACAACAAAGAACCAAAAAGCCAGAGAATTGAACTTTATAAAATTTTTAGAATGCTCTGCCTCAAAACACACTACCAGCCAAGTTAAATGGCATCATAGAGATGGAGAAATAATAGAAAATCATGTAACTGACAAGGGATTGATACCCAGAAAACATAGCGAACTCCTGAATCTTAACAACAAATAAAAATTACAACCCAAAAAATGGGTGAAAGACTTGAATTTCTCTAAAAAGGTACGTACATGTTTATCAAGCACACACACAAAAAAATCACTCCATATTACTGATCAGGAGAAACTCAATTCAAAAGTATAATGAGTTACCACCTCATACTTGTTAGCATGACTACTATTAAATAAGAAACAGAAAATACCAAATGTGTGCAAGGATGTGGATCAAAGCCCTCATCTACCAACTAACAGGAATGTAAAGTAGTTCAGCAACTATATTGGTTGCCTTTCCTTTGTTGTAGCAAAATGACTGACAGAATTAACTCACATTAGAAAAGAAAACCTGTTTTGTTCACAGTCTTAGAGCTCACAATCCATGATTGTCTGGTTCCACTGTTTCTGGATATGTGGCGAAGCGGAACTTTAGGGTAGGGAACACAGAGTCTTACAGCAGAGATGAGTGATGGCCAAGAAGCAGAGAGAGAAAAGGAGGAACCGGAGACAAGGACCTGCTCTGCATAACTGTGATTCAGCTAAGTCTCCATCACCTCCCAACAGTCCACCACTCCACGACCCAGCACTGATTAATCCACTGAGCTTTCATGATCCAGACCCAACCTTCAACACACAAGCGCACGCGCGCACACACACACACACACACACACACACACAAAACCATGAGCTTCTGAGAGGCAGTTCAGAGTCAAACCATTACAGCAACTAAAAATATCACAGGATATGTGGATTTCATTTCTGCCTACACAGCCAAGAGAACTGAAATCCAAGTGTCAGACTAGTTTATGTGCATCCCACGCCCACAAAAACGACATTCACTATAGCTACATCACAGAAGCAACCCATGAGCAAATGCAAAGATAAGCAAAATATAATACATTCATATAATGGACCTCTGGCTAAAAGGGGGGAGGGGAGCTTAGGGAGGCCCAGCCAAAGACATGCCGTGATAAACGAAATGGAGAGTCGGTAAGAAAATTTCATTTGAAAAGACCAGTTACTTAAGCTACCTTAGTTTTCTAGTTTCCGCTGAGATTACACATGGCTTATATTTTCTCACAACCTAGAGCCTTCATGCAGAAGATACCTCCTTGTCACTTTCATTCTGGTCAAGAGCATTGCCATTCTTAGGCCAACGAACCACATGCTCAGGGCAATGCAGATATAGTTCTTTTAATTAGAAAAGTAGTAACTCAGGCTACAACAGAGGAGAGAGAAAACAGTGAACACACACAGCAGTAGTGTTCTTCAGTGAACAAATTCATGTAGCCTCAAGAAGACAACCAAGAAAGGAGATGGAAAATTAACTTTCCATATAATTTTTGATCTACTTATGGACCTAAGTTCTAAGTCAGAAGGAAGATTTCTCTGCAGGCCATGAAGATCAGTCTCCTGGCTTCTTGATATCAAGAACAGGGTAGCAAAAAAATGCAGAGACGTGAGACGTGGAGAGAAAACAAAACAAAACAAAAATGTACTGAGAATACCCTCATCTGAAAAACAGCGCTACTTTCACAGTGTGGACGGAAAAACCTATATAAAGCGAAGTTAGGGCGATATGTTTCAGCCGGAAACTCATTTCATGGCCGGGCATTAGTCTTCCAAATCGGAAGCCCAGGGCGGAGGGCACAGCAAGCACCGCCCCGTCAGACCTTTCAGTCAACCCTTTGCTTGGCCCCTTTCGCAACAGCTTGCGCGACAGTTCCCGACGCGCTTTACGGCGCTCCTGCCGTGTTGCGCGGCGCTGCTGGACCTGGCGGCGGCGTTGGCTGTAGCGCAGCGGTCTGCACGGACGTTCTGTGGCGGGGGCTCGCGCTGGGATGACCGCGCGGTGCCCGGCCGCGGAGCGGAGTCATGGTGAGTGGCCGGCGCTGACGGGCTCCAACATGGCGCTGGCCGGCCCGGGCGGACGCGCAGACAGACTTTGCCCGGCCTCCCGCTGGCTCCAGCCCCCATCTCTGCTGCAGGAAAACGTTGGCGCCTCCTGCGAGCTCGGCCTGTTAAGGGCCCCCAACAAATCCTTTACAGTGGAAAAGCCTTGTGAGAATCTTGCAGGGAGCCTTTGCAAGCACTGTTTCCTAACCCAGCAGAAATCGTATTTCCACCGGTCTTGTTTAAACTTTAATGAGGTTCAAGGGCCTGTGGGTTAAAGTTCTCTTGGACGTCTGAAAAAAATTACCCTTACTGTGGATAAGCAGGTTGACTTAACCTTTTCTTCTTAGTGAAAACCCCACACCCGACAGTAAATTGTGTATGAAAATTGTAGTGGTTTTTAATTTTTTGAGACAGGGTCTGTGTAACCCTGGCTGTCCCAGAACTCAGAGATCCACCTGCCAGTGCCTCCCAAGGGCTGGGATTAAATGATATTAAAAGGCCACCATCGTGCACAGCGTCAAATTGCAGTGTTTTAAAGATTTTTCTTTCTTTCTTTTTTTTTTTTTTTTTTTTTTTTTTTTTGCCAACAACAGCAACAAAATGTTTCTTCCAGCAGGCTTGGTGCTACACTCTATACACTTCCAGATACTTAGGAAACTGAGGCTGAAGGATCGTAAATTCATGGCTAGCCTGGACAATTTAGCAAGACTCCACCTCAGAATAAAAATGGAACTTTCACAAAGGCTGGAGATGTAGTCCCACCAGTATAGCGCCTTGCATGTGTGACACCCTAGGTCCCATCCCTGGCAAAAAAAAAAGGGGGGGGAGAACCCACCTTTCACTGAAATGAAGGTTGTAACGAGCTTGAATGCAGAATAGGTGGCCATTAGCTAAGTAAACATTTCCTCTTTTCCTCCCTTACCAGGCCAGTACAGTGGTAGCAGTTGGACTGACCATTGCTGCTGCAGGATTTGCAGGTTTGTCTATGGTTTGGGGGTGGAAGAGTAGACTGGTTATGGATTCATTTGCTTATTCTATTGATTTTGGTTTTAGGCCGTTATGTTTTACAAGCCATGAAGCATGTGGAGCCTCAAGTAAAACAAGTTTTTCAAAGCCTACCAAAATCTGTAAGACCTAATTTTTTTTGCTAAATGTATTGCCTGTATTTGAAGCCTGGAGCTGCCTGGTAGCCTGAATCCCACAGGAATTTCAGTGAGGAGCTGCAAACCTTGCAGAGGTGCCACACTAGGAATCAGTTGTCACATGGGACAACTGAGGGTGGGTGACCTTCACAGGTCTTCCCTACTCACATACCTGCTCTGTCAGACGAGACACAGGTAGCATTGCAGTGCTGTTAGAACTACATTCAAGCATCACACCCTGTGTGATGAAGAACGAATCTGAACCGGATACAGCGTACACAGCTGCTGCTCTTCTGGACTTTTCAAAGTCCGAGTCATGGACAGCTTGGTGTGCATGATCTCTGCTAAGGTTAAGGTCCTGATGGCCTAATTCCCCTACACTATCATCAAGTCTTGTTTTAGTGGTTGCCTTGAACCAGGTATGCAACTGTTTTATGAGAATCAAGTTTTTATGAGGAATATGGGTGACAATGATCTGCATTCACTCCTGGTTTTGTTCTTGTCTTAAATCAACCGTTTGTTCCAGTTTGACTAGAAGAAATGGATGCGTAATACTTGTTACAATAGTTACTACTTAATCAAGCTAAAATACCTCGGGAAATACACTTGTAGTTCTCTGAAATGTACTGTTTTTCTTTATTGTCTTTATTGATTTAACCAACATTCCATTTACTTCATTAATCTTCCCTTCCAATTCAATATCCCTTTCAGGCCTTCAGTGGTGGGTACTATAGAGGTGGGTTTGAACCCAAAATGACAAAACGGGAGGCAGCATTAATACTAGGTGTAAGGTAAGCTTCTATTCACTCTTAATATATAAGGTAATTCCTAGTAGTATTTTCCTGCAATTGAGAATAAGGTAGTTCCTGGGAATTTTGTCCCAAGAAGACATTGATTTTATGTTGGTTAACTCCTTCCATGAGAATCTTTAAGCCTAACATTCCTATAGAAGTATAGGGCTTTCACTGAAAGATACAACAGATTATGACAGTGCTCACTGCTGCCTGGAGTGATCTGTAGTGAAATTCTGCCCCCATTTGCAAATGAAGTGTTGAATAAGAATTGTCTGGTCAACTACACTTAGTTTTGTTTTTAAGCACTATAATTTGGTTCTGACTTAGAAAATGCATTATTACATCTGTGTGAGGCTTACAGTGTTAAATTTGGCCCTTCTGTATAGTTCCTGTGAGTATGATTTTAAGCAAACTGAAGCAATAAATTACGTTTCCCTTTTCAAACTAGCCCTACTGCCAATAAAGGAAAGATCAGGGATGCTCATCGACGGATTATGCTCTTAAACCACCCAGACAAGGGTAAGTAACTATTCAGTTTTTATGAAACATGTTGGACTGCTATTAATGGGATAACTGATTCTTGGTAGTTATGTCTAAATGTGCGTATGAGCAGTTTCCCAGGCATGGATCACATTGTAGTGTCTTAAATATTGAAATCCACTAGATACAGTGACATACTCCTGTAGTCCCAGCACTCAGAGAGGGGGGCTGAGGCAAGAGGATCAAGAGCCAACCTGGTTTGCAAGGGATACCTTCTCTCACCAAAACAAAGGTATAATCAACAATATAAGAGTCATTGTGATTTGGCAGTAATAATAAACATTAATACTGCTTTTAGGTTCTGTGTTTGATAAAATATCTCCCAATAATGGACATCACAAATTCTAAATACTTTGGCTTGTTTTTAAGACATCTTGCTATGTAAACTTTATGACCATTCTGCCTCAGCCCCAAATGCTGGGACTAAAAGCGTACACCCTAACTCTTGGCTCTGAGTTTAATTTACTTTTGCTATATTTTTGCTTAGATTCATAAATATTCATAAATAACCAAGTGCTAAGTTTTAATTAAGGAAAACTTTTTAAGGGACTTCCATTTATAGTGGACACTTAGAACAGGAAATTACCTATTTGGAAACCTATGAGCTGAGCTGTTTGCTTTTGATGAACTTCTAAGTAGCCTTAACTGATAAAAGCAAGGGATTTCTTTGACTAACAGACCACACAAAAATCTATTGTCATGCACAAATCTTTTTGCTTATAGGAAAAGGGGTATTGATAAGTTTAAACAGGACAACTGTTTAGTATTTGACTTCACAGTGTAAGGAATTTAACATCTTGGTAAAGAGTCCATACATATCTATTCTACCAGCATTCTCTTGATGCTCTTTGATGGACTGATTAGCTGCTCCATCAGGTTAGTAAAACAGCAAATCTAGATAACAGAAAGGGTCAGCTAATATCAAGAGAGGAAAATTGAAGCGGGAAAGGATGTAAAACAAGTAGGTCTTTCCAACATAAGCTCAGAAGCCCCTGAGAACAGGTAACACAGTGGATTATGTTCACAAGTGCTTAGTTTCTGGCACTTATGTGGGAAGGGCTAAATTTTATTTCAGTCAGATTTTAAGGTTTTTAAAGGTAAAATTGTGTGAAAACACCTCATTTCCCATTGGTCAGATATTTTACCCTGTAATTTGGTGACCTATTTATAGTTATCATAGTTGCTTTTTAGAGAATGAAGATAGTATTTCTGTTAAGGTCCAGGATCCTCGAAATGCAAGTAGCTTTTGACAGATTTAGAATCTGTGCTCTAAACTATGTCTCCCCCTCCCCTTTCTTCTATAGGAGGATCTCCTTATATAGCAGCCAAAATCAATGAAGCTAAAGACTTACTAGAAGGTCAAGCTAAGAAATAAATGTGATGAATTTTAAGTCCATTAGTCTATGTATGAGTATGTTTTTGTAATAAAATACCTCAGAGCTATAATTTGTGTAAATGGCTTGGCATAAGCTAAATCAATGTCTTGGTATATTTTGTTCAAATCTGAGGATTTCAAAATTAAGACCATAGTATTAGCAATTATGAGTACAGAGTCACACCATTTGAATATAAACACTGTTCATTACTTAGAGAAATTTTGGTACTTGTGTTACTCTTCAAGGCTAAGGCTTTGCTCTGAGAATGCCCCTGCCCCACTGCAGTCTACTCAGACAGACAACCTAACTATTGAAGCAGGGATTCTTTGGGAGGCAAAACTCAAGGTACAACTGGCCTAGGTAATTGAACACTGTAATTCAAAATTACTAATTTAGTTAGAACTTTAATCTAAGACATTTCTTAGGTAGTTCACTGGCAGTTAAATTTCAGTACATTAAAACTTTCTTTAAAAATAAGACCGAGTCTCTATTAAATTATGTAGCTCTGGCTTGTCGTGGAACTATGTAGACCAGGCTGGCCTTGAACTCAAGAGATCCACTGTCTCTGCCTCCCAGGTGCAGTGATGAATGCTGTATGTCACTACACCCAGCTACATTAAAACTATAATTTCAGTGTATGGGCCCTGTTAATTTTAAAATTCTTAGCTAGTCCAAGTTGTACGTGCTTTGCTTTTTACATAATTCATTTAAAATGGTTATGACCAAGCTTATCTGAATATAAAATCCTCTCAATATTAAAATATTGATAGCCAGTTGTAGAGCATGCTTTTAACCCCAGCATGTGAAAAGCAAGTGCTTTTGATTTTCAGCCACAACATTTTACATACTGTAAATCCAAGGGACATTTGAAGGCAGGTAACTTTGAGTCCAACATTCAAATATGTAAGGACTTAGGTCAGGAGGTACAATCCCTAGCTGGTGGTCCCTGTAGCATTTAATCCTGTCAGCACTTCACTGCCTCAACTTTCAGTTAATCAGAGCATGCAGAGGTTAACAAGGTGCTGTTTGAATGTGGTCAAGGGCACTAAGGGGATTAACAGTAGACGATAACAGTAATTACTAGCAAATAGCTCTGGATTATTTTTGTACCCTTGCTCAAAGTCCTTATAAGTAAGCACTAAAAGTTTGAGTGTGACATGGTTAAGTCTCCCAAACCTGGTCACAATAGGGAAGAGGCCAGGTCCTGATGAGGTACTTTGGGGGGGGGGGCAGGGAGGGGGCCCCCGAGGCGGCTTTGAATCTGGGTTTCTGTGTGTAGCTTTAGCACCTTTGTTAGAACTCACTCTGTAGCCCAGGCTGGCCTCAAACTCACAGAGATCCACCTGCCTCTGACTCCTGAGTGCTGGGATTAAAGTAAAGGTGTGTGCCACCACCGCCCAGCTTCAATTCACTTTTTAAAAATATTTTTCTTTGATTTGCATTGGTGTTTTGCCTGCACATGTCTGTATGAGGGCATCGGCTCTCCTAGAACTGGAGTTACAGTTGTGAGCTACCATGTGGGTGCTGGGAATTGAACCTGGGTACTTTGGAAGAGCACCCAGTGCTCTTAAACCACTGAGCCATTTCTCCAGCCCACTACAGTTCATTCTTCACAGCAGTTATGTTTTGTGAAGTCACCATGACACTAAACTGGCAAATGCAGATTGTGTTCCTAGTGGAACAGGTTCTTGTGAGCTTCTAGGCACATGCCTCTCTTTGAACATGACTTGTTCAATATATTTCTTGCTTCATTAATGTTAAAGTCAGAAGCACTACAGCTTAACTTTGGCATATACAGCCTTTTCTTGTTTTGAAGGACACAGCACTACACCACTACAGTTAAGAGGATTAGAGAAACCACCAATACAAAGCACTCATACCTGAAGGCATGGTATTAGAAATGATCAGCAATGCATGTTAATTAAGTGTTGATGTGGGTTTTATGTTAGCAAGCAATGCACTTAAAGAATCCACAGATGAGGATATTATTATTGTTTATAATCCAAAGTATTAACCTTTTATCTGGCCATTTTAACTAATAATAAAAAAAAATGTTTCAGAGCTATAAAGATGGCTCATTCACTAAGCCCTGTCTGCTCTTCTAGAGGACCCAGTTTGATTCCTAGAAGCCACATAGCAGTTCACAACCTCCTATAACTCCAGTTCCAGGGGATCTGATAACATCTTCTGGCCTCCCTGGGCACAGCCTGCACACATGGTGCACAGACATACATGCAGGCAAGACACCCATATATACAAAATAAAAATGATAAATGTTTCTATGGACAATAATAAAGCAGAGTTTTGTTAGATTTAAAAGCAGATTTTGAAAAACAAGTAGTATTACAACATGCCCCCGAGCAGTCGCCCATTAACTGCAAAGGACAGACCACTGTAGGCACAAGTACCTTTGAGTGTCAAATGCTATGCATGCCTGTTAAAGACAGGCGCCAAAGCATTGAAAGCCTTTCATATACTAAGGATCACAACCATTCACTGATAGTAACGTTTATTTTCTCTAGGCTTACCTTTTTCAAGCTGAAGAATCTGTATTTCATTGAAAGCTCTAGGTGTAACGTTTAAATGTCATACATGTAAGGGCTCTTAGGTATAGGATCTGTAAAAGTGCCTTCTCCATGCTATTTTTCTAAGTGCTTAAAGCCTCCTGTGTTGTGTTAAGCATTCTTAGTATATCTCAACTACTATGTGTTTAACACAAGGAAACCAAGGTTTAGTGAAGTAACATGTCCAAGGAGACAAGGCTGAGTGGGAAAACCTGTTTCTTTTCATATTCACACTTCCATGCCCCTAACTTCTGTAGTTAACCTTTCACAGTTCTAATCCAATCATCTAAGCATGTTTCTTGGTGATACTTGCTAAGCATCCAATTGTTTATACACACATATAAGGCGTCGAGGTTTGGACTTTTGCCATAAGCTAGGCAAGCACTTGCCAACATTCATTTATCAGGTACTATAAAGGGAGACAAAGGGTCAGGAGCAGATCAGTGGCAAAGCAATAGCCTAAACTTGGGGCCACAGGAATCAGACAGGCTAAGGTATCACCAGATATCACCCCTGAATGTTTTTGCTCAGGAGCCATCCAGCTTTGTTTTTGAGAGGGTTTCATTGGGACGACACCCCTGAACCCCAACAATCTGTCTCCACGTTCCCAGTGCTGGGATTATAAGCCTGTACTCCAACATCTGATTTTAATGTGGGGATCACACTTACATGAAAGCACTTTACTGACAGCTGTGTCCCCAGACCCTAGGTAGCTTTGAGCAAGTCTCTAGACAGGAGGATAAATGGAATAAAATTTTAAGGACTATGAAGAGCAAAGCGATTCGCTAATGAAATGACTGAACCCTGGACCTGTCTTTCCCAGTTTATCATGTTCATTTATACTTTGATTTTCTGTCCACAGCTTGCCTTTGGTGTTGATATTGCTAGGACAGAAGCCCTAGCTCACTGTCTTTAGAAATTGTACTTTTTTGATAATGCCAAGTAGACCAAGTAGTCCTCAATCATCTTTGGCAACCGTGGATTTTTAGCAAATCCTCTTGCCTTCGAGCAGTCTCCAAATGACAAGAGTACTTAAGGAAGCATTGATACAAAAATGATACCGTCAAATTTTGTAAACCACTATTCCAGAAGTTAGTTATCTAAGACCCTTCACACCTGTATATTCTGAACCACTGAGAAGTACTAGGGGAAATTACAAGGTAAAAATTAGAGTCAGTAAATAGCTCAGTGGGTTAAGGACACTTGCTGCAAGCCTGGCAAGCTCAGTTACTTCAGAGTTGATGGAATGAACATCCCCCGAGATATCCTGACCTCCAAGTGTCCCATGGCACAAGCATCCCACTTACAAAAATGTATTGGGGGAAAAAAAAATCCAGGCAAAACCCTAAACCTGTTACTGCAATCCTGTCAACCTTTGAATATGTCCTACCTTAAACCTTACACACAAACTATTAAAATAAACAAGGCAATGTTTCACCTCAAATAAGTGTTAGCAAAAATTACTATCTAGACCACAGTACTCTCCGATATGTGAATTCATAACATCTTTTTCTGGTAATGACCTATAAAGGTGAGTTTTCAATTCAGAAACCTGAAATTAAATGCCGTCACCCTTGTAAGTTATGAGAAATTTACATAACTCAAGTTCAAAGAACAGCACATAAATCACACGCTATGTTAAAATATATTTAATATACTCATTGGCTAAGAACACTAGAGCAAGTAACCCTGAGTACAGGAAACATCAATGCCCACAGTTCTACTGTGTTGAGGCAGAAATGGGATGTTGGTGCTTCTCCCAATCCCTGTGACCCAATGACAGGGCGAGTCCTGTTATGGTATAATCTGGAACCTGTTAACACATGCTACCATAATAGTAGTCCTTGGTAGTGGGATTAAAAATAACTTTGCTTAAAAGCAACAAATCTAGGCAAGATGGCTCACTGGTTGAAGGTACTTGGGGCCAGCCTGGCAACCTGAATTTACTCCAGAACCCACATAGACAACCAAATTAATATAAGGTTCAGGCAATAAATATGAACTAGTTTATGCCTAGTAGAAAGCTTTTGTTTGCTAAAAATGGTTTCAAACTGCAAGATTAGTAAACAGAGTAATTTTAGAATTCATTAAGATACAACTACCAAAATACAGAGAAAGTTAAGAATCTACTAAGTGTAGCAGTGGAGTAAATGATATACATGCTACTTAGGGCTGCCAGGCTGTGTCAGAAGGAATTCTTTTTGAGTTGAGCCTAACTGGAATGTAAGGAATGGACATACCCAACACACACCACTGTAAGTATTTTCATACTCTCAAGGTTATGGGACATACGGTTAAAATGTTACTCCTAACTCCTTACATACAGAACAGACACAATGGCTCCTAATGATATGCTTTTTATCTATACCATCTCAAATATTAGAAGAATAAGACAGTGGTTTGTGGGAAATCACGGTCAGGTCTGCCTGTACTCTCAAGTACTCAGAAGGGTAGAACCGAAATGAAGGCCAAACCTGGTCATCGTTTAAATAAATCTGTACAGCCAGGTAGAAATGCTGGCTCATGCCTGTAATCCCAGCACTAAAGACCTAAGGCAGGAAGAAAAGCTAAGGATACAACTGTTTCAAAGTAGTACTTCTATAGGCTCCTGGGTTCAATTCCCAGTATCATCAAAAGTGGAATTTTTTAAAAAGGTATTACTTTATTACAGATTACATGTGCCTCTATCATCCAGCTTTAATGGACACCAACCCCTTACTAAATTTCTAGTGCTTTTACTTAAAACATATAATTAGGTTAACAAAAAACTGTCAGTAGTTGGTCATTTTTGACCCCCTAAGAGTAATAATTTACAATGAAATAACAACAACCCTAATCTACAGGTGTGTTTCAACCAATAGTACATACTTTCAAGTTAATACCACTTGTTCAAAGATTAGGTGTATCCAACTGGAATTAATTCCAACACATTAAACCCAAACTCTTACCATATTAAAAAGGTTAGGAGCAATTGTAACACCCCAATTAAAAATGTTAGGAGGTAATGAGTTGATATGGGAGAATCCAAGCCATAAAAAAGCAAATTAAGACTGAATAAGATTTTAAAAACATACCATCCTTTTCAAACTCTACAAAATTCTAGGTACAAATGTGATGTTCCTTTACTGACAAGACCCATGTCTTCACACATTATGGTCAGTTTCCCATTTGCTTTCCCTTAGCATACATATACCACAGACTTAGTCTTTAAGAATCCTAATTATTTGAGCCACAAGAAAACTGGAATGTCTGCAGAGGACAGACATATCAACTTCTCCAGAGTTTCCTTGGGTTACAATGCCCAAGTCAAATCATAGTCAGCTACAGCAATCACTCTGGATTAACGGTGCTAGGACTCAAGAGTAACCATTTACGGTTTCTCACTTCAGACTCAGTGCCTCATTATTGATTTCTTCAGCTTACCAAGTATTATCATCTGTACTTTAAAAAAAAAAAAAAAAAAAAACTAATTTCACCAAAATCCCCTGCCTTTGAGCAGCACCTCGGGTAATTTCCCAAGAACTCATTGGACTGACATGCTGCTCAGTTCCACATGAAAACTTTAGAACTAAGAATTTTTTTTCTTTTTTTTTGCATCCTTCCTTCCACTTCTGGTGGGTAGTAGGGTGCACAAGAATCCCAGAATCCTTACTTTATCCCCCACCCCAATGAATCAGGAAACCAGATCATTTTTGCCCCTCCCTCATATAATCTGAACTCCTGCTTCACATTCAGTTCAAAATTACGTGTAACCTCATGGGTCTCCATACTTCAGTGCTTTGAGCTGCCAAAACCTTTCAGAATATACTTTCTGAGTTCACGTTTTGTAGTATGTGCTAGAGCACGGACTCCCGCTCATAATCTAACCAAGGTAGCAGTCAAAGTACCAAAAGCAACCTGAATCAACCTGTTACCTCTGGGGAGGTGGATTTTCACTGACACTATATAAAACTCTGACCAAGCGATCTGCAATTTAAAAAAAAAAAAAAAAAAAAATCTGACAGTTCTTTAGTGCCGAGTCTTAAAGGGCAAGTCACTGGGTGGTTATTTTCAGGTAATGAAATCTCAGCTCTTATCCTAAAGAACTAATTATTAAATCCTGCTCCTCCCATGTTTCATCAATACTTGATTTTTAACAGCTTGGGAATTAAAATTCTTTGTGGGCTAGGGATGTAGCATAGTGGTAAAACACCAATTCCCATCAGACACAAAATTCTTTGTCCAATACTTCAGAGTTAAATCTGTGACCCACGTACACAGAACTAAGTAATTAAGAAGCCAATTATTTAACTTGTTTTCAAAACTTTTCAAAATGAGGTTATGGTATTTCATCTGGTATACAAAGTGCAAGAATTTCACTCAAAAGTTCTATTATCAGAACTATTAAAGAGTTCAAAAAAAAAAATCTACCATCAGTGAATGTTAAGCTCAATTAGAATATATGTGATAGGCTACGGCTACACATACTGAAGAGCAAACTGTCCATTTGTAACTAGATGTGAATTATCCCTCAGTTCATTTATAAAACAAGCTCAAGATTTTTATGAACATAATTAACAAATTATGCACATAAAAAACTTCCAATGACAAAATTAAAGCACTTCCAGCAGTCTATGTAACACATGGAGCAAAATCCTAAGTCCACAAATATTTCATTTGATCAACAACCACAGAAATATACATTTATCGTTAAACTTCCATCTGAAAAAAATCTCTTCATAAAATTAAGTCTTCTGAATATTTTTAAACTTTTAATTACTGATTTTCAGTCACTGGTATGAGAACCTTCAAAATCATTTCCTTGTCAATCAAAAAGCACATTATTGGCCTATTACTTAAAAACTGCTTACCATATGTTAAAAAGTTTTTTAATAAAGAACTAAAGGCAAAAGTAAAATGCTATCTTCTGCCTCCCATATCTTCCACAACTTGCTTTTGATTAGAATTTAATATGAAGAGGTTTCTCCAACAGCAAAGACATATATTTTCTAAACCATTTAACAGCCAAATTTTTAAGTGTTAAGACTTTAGAGGGTTCATGACAAAATGATTAAGCAATTAGCATTTTAATACTAGATCTGAGGCAGAATAAATGCTTTTGAAAAGCAATCCAAGAACGCTCTCTATTCTAGGCCTGTGAAGTAGTCCTACTGCTTTAAAACAATTGGCATAAAAAGTAGAAAGTTAAAATCAGCAAATGGAAGATCCAAGTTTATTTACTACCTGCATACAAAAACATATTGCACATCAAACAACCAAAATCAAAAAAGAGGGGAAAAAAGGGGAAAAAAGGAGGTGGGAAGAAAATGTGAAAGATACTCTACTGAAGACTAAACATGTAGTTTATACAGAATAAACCCTCTGGAAATTGATCTTTTCAGTAGTTCAGGCTATGTCTGAATGGACATGACTAATCAGCTTAGTGTTTCAACTAAAGCTATGTTTGATTTCTTTAAATACTGTACACTTTAATAAATAAACCAAACAAAGCCTCAATGTAGAACAGTCACTGCCAATATCACCCAGTGTCCCTGCAGATGAGTTAACATATGTATTCCAGTGGTCTGCAGACTTGCCTCTACAAACAGCATTTAAAAAACACGTAACAGACCAGTTTCCAGACTAAACTAATGAAGAAAATTACAATTCAGTGCAAAATATTTTTAAACTGCTTCATTCTAGTTTTCCTCAGGTGAAGAAGTGGTTGCATATTATTAAAAATGTAACAAAAGCAGCTAATGCTTTCATAAAGAATATTACGTTTGGGACCCCACCCCACCCACCTCCCCCCATCTCTGCCATATTTTGAAAACAAAATAACATTTCCTATAGCCAGCAACTTTTTTTTTAATGTTACATATACTATTCTCAAGGCACATCTGATGATATATTTTTAACACAGTAGGTGTCAAAGTATGTTTAACATATGATTTCTTCAGGATCCCTCCCCTTTCTGAATTCCAAATGGAGGAACTGAAAGTGCGATGTAAGACTGGCGATCCATATTCTATCTTTGGCAAGCTTGTACAAGCACTATTGTAACTGTAATGTAAAAGAACTGTAAACTAGGAACTTCCTTCAGTTATGAAACACCATTCAGGACTGCTGCTTCTTGAGTGCTTTCTTCTTTTAAGTTCTTAGTCTTTTCTTCTCCTGGAGTACGCGGTAGTTTAGGAATTTCATCGCCAGAAGCGCTAGTTGGACCATTTATTGCCTTTTCTGAAGGACCATGCTCTTCAATCACATCTTTTGCCTGTCAAAGGGAGACAACTTTTTCAACATCTTTATAAAGAAATCTGTAACTGAGGAAGAAAATAACTACATAAACATTACTTTAAAAAAAAAAGATAACTTTCATATGCCATACAGAAAGCATTTTAAATTTAAAACAAATACCAATGCATTCCAGTTTTGGGGTTTTTAAACTACAACATCTCTAGTACCTATGAGTGCCCATATCACAAAAAGCACCTGCACTATTGAATGAAACCTGTACTAGTATTATTTTAAACCAGTGGAGAGTTCACCATATAAATGGTGTAAGCAGTCAATACAATAGGGTAAAACAATAATCACCCATTTTACTCACCTTTCTGAAACTCCCATTTATGTATTAATCACTGAAAACATTTAAAAGAATTGTAACTTAAAGGGTCTATTCCCACTACTGACAAGAGGTATATAGCAAATCAAGTAAATGCTGACGTGCTATCTGGCAAGTGTCTCACGCTCAAGCATGCATATATATTTATCTTCATTCATCAGGGGCCTGGGATAGAACCAAAGATCTTCTTTAAATATTATCTTTTAGGGGAAACAAGTGACCATACAGTAATAAATAAAAAATAAATAAATCTAAACAATACGGAAATAATAATTTAAAAAAAACCCTACAGGTTAAATTCTCCTTACCATTTCTTTCTTGTTTTTAGCCAAAGTTTCCCTTGGGAGGTTTCTTTGTCTGCTCTGAGACTCAGCTCTAGAAATATAATCTGCAACTGTGACTGTTAAAGATGAGAAAAAAATTACAGGTGTTGAAAAATATTTCTAAATTTTATTATGGATAAAGAGTAATTTCACTATTAAAGTAAACTAATGGTGGGTCACCCAATTTCAAAAATTTACGCTGGGTACCCACCTCTGAACAAAAACATAGCTTGGAAAAATGTGCCTATGATTTTAAAATTTAGCTGGAACTTGAGGAAATCTAGATTGAAGTCCTTTTTCCCAAGAATCCAGCTATCTCTTGGTTGAGTCTAAGACTGGGACGAATTTGGTGTAGCAACCCACCACAAGTACTGCAGGGCAGTGTTCTAAGTACAGGGTGGTGTCTGCAATCATTAATGTATGTGTTGGGGGGGGCAATGTTGGCACTAATCATGACGGGATGGTTAAAAGATTTTATGTTTTATGTTTTTTGGTTGTTCTTCCGGCCCAAGAAAAACAGCACAATTAAGATGTTGAAGTGTGGTGTTTTGGGGTTCCTTCCTACCATTTCATGCTAGACAGCATTTAATCTATCTGATGTTCAGATTTTAAGAAGTATAGGCAGACTAAGACAATAAATCACAATCCTAATGTGGTTAGACACTTGTCAAGGGTGGGAAAAGAACAGAGTAAATAAATACAGAGATGCTGTCTCATCAACGTTGTTCTCTTGCTAGGTCTTAAACATAAGATAATCACATTAAGTAACGAATTAGGAAACAGAGTAAACTATCATGCTAATAAATGACCTTTGTTTATTAGTATCATGCACTGGCCTCAGGACTTGAAATTCAAAATACTTAATTTTACATAATTATTTTCTATCACAGACTAGTTTTAAGAAAAACCCCAATTTGTAAAAATTAAAAACAAGTCAATTTTACATTATTTAAAGCCACCATGTCTGGGGAGAAGGCCATTATAAATCTAATTAGTCCATTAAATTAATCACTTACTAAAAGGCTGAACTGTATTTTACAATTCATTCATCTTAATAATGCATGTGCTAACATTAAGACTGAAGAACTCTCTAATAATTCATTACCTTATAAGCATCTTGAATCAAGATTTATTAGAAAACTACAGACATTTCAAATCTAAAACTGCTTTCCTTCCAAATTATAAGGAAGTCAGTATGCTCATTCTGAAGCCTTTAAATGGCTCCTCGTTTTAAAATCACTTTTAAGAAATTTATAAACATGTTTAGCAATACTCTGGGAGAGGAGTATAATCTATTCATTTTGTGTACTCTACAGGGCAACAGAACTGTCATGAGAATGACTGTAACCATGGGTAGGGGACACGCCAATGAGTATTTTGTTTTCATAGTGCAGACCTCAGTGACCTGGAGGAATGCATCTACTTCAAGAGGTTGCTGCAGACATTGCTCCATGGAAATGTGTGCAAACAGTTCTTAGAGCCTTTCACCTACTCCTACATAAAATGAAAACTTTGATGTAGCTGAGATTCCAAAGCTAAGCAGCACTTAGTTCTGTTCCTTGCCCACAAACAAAAGGAGCCAGTTAAGTAACTTGTTTTATAGTTCTTATGGAATACAGCCCCTTAAATTTCAATAAAATTGAAATTTCAAGGAAAAACTATAGACAATTTTGTGGCATAATCAGCACCCTGAAATTCAATTGACACCACTATAGTGTTTAAGCACAGGAAAGACCACTCAACGGATAATTTATATACAACTAAGAGCAGCTAGAAATTCTATGAAAAGGAAAAACACCTATCAACTTTGTGTTGGGGCTGTCTCCCTTGCTGGGGCACGAAGAAACTGTGAAATCAATTGGAAATAAAGGAATTTGGTAAGAGGAAACACAGTGGTTCCAAAGAAGAGTGAAAACAGTATCAGATATAGTATGCAACAGCACATTACTGTCAAATGATCAAAACTCCAAATTAGTCATTTCAGTGAATTCTGTTCAAAATCATCTAACTTAGAAGAAATCCTGTTCTGATATTTTTATGTCTGTACACTTAATCATGATCACTGGGGGTTAAATTATGTTGAAATGTAGTCCAGGTTAATAAGCCCATATTGATAGCCTGGATTTTCTTATTTACAAAGTAGGGCTAGAAAATATTCACTGCTGTGCCACCTTCAAAACTGAAATTCATGACCTCTTCAACTTAAAACACAGTTCTAACATTAAGAAGGGGAAGAAGAAATATAAAAGGAAAACAAATTCTTCAATAGTATTTGATTATTATTTATATGTTCATCTATCTTTAAAACATGAACTCTTCAGAATGGGAATTAATGCCCTTACCTAGACTTCCGTACTGTCTCTGTAACCTCTATACTCAAAAGATTTACAATTTACATTATTTGGGGGGAAACACATGAAAATACATGTTTTGGAAAGAATGCAAAAATTGATTGGTTTGAAAGGGGTTTATTTCTACTGCACACAATTTCTTCATGGTGAATATACAGTGATTCTCTGTACAATAAGAAATGAATGTGTTCAAAATATAGACATAGCAAACATGATTCTTTCCAGTTACCAAAACTTGTGACAACATAAAATATTGAATGAAACTAAGTAAATACTATTTGAATGATTAGTATGTGTAAAGGAAAACACATCACACTACGATAACACAAAAACATTAACATGCATCCTCTTTTAAGAAAAGACACTTCTACATTCTTTGTTTTTAAATTTTGAGTATTGTAATTCCCACCACAATGAGGCGCCCAATCTAGATATAGTAAAAGCAGGCACCATGCAAAAACTTCCTAGTTTTGCCAATCAACTTCAAACACAATTCACACAACAGCCCCTGCAATGGCAGTCCCACCTTAAGTTTGAGGAATACTGCCAAATGAATAGTCTTGGAAGTATTTCCATGTAAGAAATTAAGACACAACATTAGTTCACTTAGACTGGATAGTAAACATTGATACTGAGAAGGAAGAATGCATTGTCTTAGCAGTGTCATTAGTTGAATAGCTTATGCAATGCAAATTCTGAATGTATATACACACATGTGAACATGTAACTATATTTAGAATGCAGACACATGACATTTTTTTCATGCTTGTGACCTGACACCAACAGGCCCACTCAAGTTACCTGGCTGTCTATCTTCTGCCTGACCCCTGAAACGACGCCTGCGGCTACGATTGCGTCGCTGGGGTTTTTTTTCACTATCATCTGTAATTGCAAAGTTTACCATCAACTATTCTGGCAAAAAATAACAAAACAAAAAAGAACAAACAAAAAACTTCTTTCCTTATATAAGAAAAGGAAAGAGAAACTTAATTAAACGTCGAAGGTAAAGCATACAAAATCAACAAAGTATTATATACACTTTTGAAGCATAAAGCATTCCTCTCTGGAAATTAAGAGGGCATTAACTCATAATAAAGCAAACTGTCTTATGTAACTGAAACTACCATCATTCAGAAAAAGAGATTTCTCTCCAACATATTTTGAGTTTCGAAGTTAATGACATTTTAGCCCCTTAATAATAAATGCTCACACTATGCATCTCCCCAAATGTACCATAATTTTTAAAAGGGGTGCTAGTTTTGTTTGTGGATCTCAGTAAGATCAACTGAGTATTTGTACTGATTTAACAGTATAAAAGGGCACTTTAATTAATCCTCCCAGTTTCTGATAGTTTGACAAATAGGAAAACTAGACACCCAAGACAAGCAAGTTATCTCCCTCATTTACAGACTGAAAAATCACTTGTGAATTGCATACTTAAAAAACAAAAAGCCTCATCTATTACCAGTATAATACAATCACACACACACACACACACACACCTTTTCCCTCAATGCTTACATACCTAGCCCATTCTCATTAACTGAGGCTGTATCAGATTCAGTCATTCCATCCATCAGAACAGCATCTTCATCAGTCCTTCGTCTACGAGACCGCCTACGACGGTTAGTACTGTGATGAGATTCGCTGGCGTCAGTGTCTGCAGTCTGATCTGATTCTGTATTATCAAGTAAGCTGTATGGATTGCTGTCTGGATCTTTGAGCACTATATTCATGTCAGAGGCAAGAAATAGTCATTTAAGAGGACTGCACTTAAAATGCTTGATCTACTGAACTACATCAACTAATTGTAAATAAACTTTAATACCCCCCAATAAAAATATAGGCCTGAAATAAAAAATGTTTTCTTGTTATTACTAATTTATCTGAAAATCAAGATGATTAAATAAAATTTTAATGGGAATGAAAAATTGTAAATAAAGCAAAAGGTTATTCATTAGCTTGGTAATGTTTCCTTTGAATTGTTTTACAAATAGTCAGCCCTCTACATCCTCACATAAAACTATAGAAGGGGATATATCTGTATTAAACACCTAGTTTTTTTCCTACATAATTGTTTTCTTACTACTGTCCCTCCAATAAAGACAAACTACTTACATGGCATTTTCGGAGACACAGGTAATCTAGAGATGATATAGAACAGTGTGCACAGATGATGTGTTAATATTGTATCACCTTTCATTAAGGATTTAAAAAAAAATCTGTGGGGGTTACTGAGACCAATCCCCCATAGATACTGAAGGATAACTATATCAGAAAATACTGTACTATCTAATTCTGACATTCACACTCAAGATAATCCTACCCAGAGGGTAGAAAAATAAAAATAAAAATGAAGAATAATGTTCAGCTACTATGTAGTGAATCTGAGAGCCTTTTGTTTCTCTTTACAACTTTAAGGTGACTACTGCTACCCAACTATTTCCAAATAAAATTCAGCATCTGCACCCAAGACCTAAGAAAAATCAGCTAACTATAAACTGAAACAACCAAAACAATTCTACAGAGGTGTCACAAACTAAACCAGGCTGAACTAGTAACTGGTTATGAAAAGGACAATGAAACAGATGTTAACTTGTATTCTAACTCTAAAAACGAAGCAGAGTGGAGTTAAAAAGAATGGTTTCAAGATACAAACGAAAAGAAATACACCTGTCTTCCTATGTGCATCTACTTCCAACATTCAAATTACAGAAGAAATTCATCTAATCACTATTACTCCTAAGTTTCCTTTGGTAACAGCTAGAATCTTTGCAAAAGATACTAAGTTTATCTATTAATTATAAACACTACGTAAAATACATTTATTTTGCAGTTCCACAAAATATAATTGTATAATAGTAACAGCATGTAGTGTACATTTTAATAAAAAAAAATTACTTCCCTGAAAAGACTAAGCTAAACTTTCCTAAATAAAACTAAACTTAGGACCCAATAAAAATGGGGAAACAATTGGAGCTAAATACACTTCCCTTCATTTTATGCTGATTTGTTTCATTGTTTGTATGTTAACATATTTGGATTTTTCTGGGGTGAGGTGGGGGTGGAGGTTCGAGACAGTTTCTCTGTGTAGCCCTGGCTCTCCAAGAACTTGCTCTGTAAACCAGGTTGGTCTTGAATTCACAGAGATCCACCTGCCTCTTCCTCCTGAATGCTGGGATTAAAGGTGTGCACCACAACGGCCTGGCTTTAATATGCAAAGACTAACATTTTAAAGGATTTAAATATTTTTAAAATATTTAAAATGAGATATTTAATCATTATAAAGTACGACCTTCTTAAAGGACATGTAAGTAATAACACTCATTTGCTCAGAAAGAGCATTCTAGAAACAATACCACTCCATGGTAAAAAAAAAAAAAAAAATCCAATTACCACAGCGACCAGATGCTTGCATATATGACTGCATCTCTATACTGTATTTATGAACATGTGGTGTGCCCAGAGGCCACAAGAGGGCATCAGATCCCACTGAGCTGGGGTTGCAGGGCTATGAGCAGCCCACAGTGGGTGCTAGGAGCCTAGCTCCCTACTCTACAACAACTGTCCCTAATTGCTGAGCCACCTTCCCAGTCCCTCTATATTTCTCTTTACAGTTCAATTTCTCAATAAAACAGAATTGAATTTACATTTTCTGTCCTCAAACTGTAGCGAAGAATTCTTGGGAAACAAGAAAATATTACCTAATTACCAAAGACCCCAAATGGGAAGGGATAAATATGATTATCAAAGCAGAGGACAACAACCAACTGGAAGTTCTAACCTATATATTCCTATGGAAACCTTTACTCAGAATTGCTCTACACAACTTTGTCTCTATTAACTGCTACACAGTCTACTATTTTCTCTAAGACAGTAAGCAGAATCACAAATGCTGAGAAATGGGTGGCTCTGAGGGAGGAAGTAATTCTTGTAGGGTTATACTGTTTACAAAGCATGAACGCTGACATAGTATGTAAAAGACTACCAGAACTGATGGAGGATTTGCCACCACGTGGTCCACCACGACCTCGACCCCCAGAAACACTTCTGCCTCTTCCTCCTGGGCGTCTCCTGCTGTCTCGCTGATGGCGACTCTCTCGATCATCTTCTCCTGCCAATGACCAATCACTCAGCTCATCCTTACGCTCAGACTCTGTTTCGGAGGGGTTAGACAGCTCAGAATTTGTACCTTGGGGAAAAAAAGAGAAAGAGAGACAGTATGTAAAATAATTAGGTCACATATATAGATGCTTAAAATTTTTCAAAACATTGTCTGCTGAGCATTATTTAAAATAAGTATAGTAACTGCTCTGAAGAGAGCAAAATTAAAAACTTTAAATTTAATACGCAATTATCAGATTCAACTAACAATTAGAGGAAGCGCGTACACTATAAAAATGCAATTAATGTCAAGGTTTCTGCTCATTTTAAATTGATAGCTTAAATCATCAGTACACCAAATGTTATCTAATACCTAAAGATAAATTTAATCACATTCAGAAAAATTTAAGTTTTAAACAATAGTGTTTCTATTAATACTGACTCCAGTGTGTATTTTTTTCTCTCACATTTTAACTTCTTTAAAATCAGAACAGTTCTTATAAGTCTTTCTTAATAGCTGGGAGTTTGTCAGTTAATATACATAAAATGTTTTATTTACTGCTACCGCAGAATAGTGTAACATTAATGTTTCTGAGAAAACAGCTACTACCTAACAACTAATAGAACAGAGACAGGACCAATGAAATGAAGTCCACATGACTATCCCTTTCAGAAATTGATTTCTAAATTTATACAATTTAACTGAAAACATTACATTTTACTGAAAGTACTGTTTGTCTAGCATGTCATGTGTATTTTTCTCTATAGATCTACAATTGGTATATATGTCAAAAGGCAAAACTTAATCTGTGTCCCAAATGTGTCATAATGTGCAAAACTTCCCCCTTGATACATGAATTTGTTGAATGAAATACCTATTTAAACTCCATGAGTACAAACAGTAGTAAAACACTAGTACTCCTTAGATAGTAAACAAGTAATGAGGTGCAGGAATAAAGTAAGAACTCTACAAATACAAATTACAGAGGAAAAGATAACAAAAGTTTAGAAAAAAAAAACCAGTTTATTTTTCACTCTTAGGTATTTGTTTGGAATGAAAACCTCATAGAAGGAATAAAGTACCCATTAATAATTATTTGTCCAAATGCCAAAAACATTAACTGTATCATCTAACTGTCAAAATATAGACAATAATCATTTCATGAACAGTGAAACAAATCTGTGTTAAGATGTAAAGGTGGATAAGCTTAGGAAACTATTTTATCTTACCCAAGGAGAAAAGCAAGGAAATGACTAACATAAATCCAGTATTTATTTTGTGAGACAAACATTACAAAAAACCAAGAAGTTGTTGATAAACGGGCTAATACTTGGGTGTTTTATGATCACAAAAAGTCAAGTGTAAGGTTGCACTATGAGATGAGATTGTCCTAAAATATCCAGGTGGTCCTCAACTATTTATCTCATCGGCCTTTAAATCTTCCTCATGTTATAAAGATGACAGCATGAGAACTGTCAGCCACTGACATTTTAAAAAAAAAAAAAAAATAGAGGTAGGTGGTCATAAGCGAGGAAACAAATGTGTTCCCTAGAATCTGGAAATGTCAAGCAATCAGGTTCTGTCAAACTTCCAAAAAAGACAAAACCTGCAGCCAGGTGACATGTACGAGGTGAGCCCAATGAGGTAATGGTCAGCTTTACAATGATAAAGCTGTACTACCCACACCTCTAAATTGCTGTAGGTTATTCATTACTGCTCTGCTGAAAACAATATAGCCATTTTAACCTCTCCATCTTGTAAAGTACAAGCAGGATACAAGCAAAGAAAACCCAGAAAAGCTTTTAAAGATGAGCCATGACACTCAGTCACAACTTCCTTTTAGTCAAATTTCATAATCAGGCTTTTCCCTACAACTTCTAACTACCACTCTTACCAAGCCAAGACGGTTGCCATCATTTTAATCACCATGTGATAAAAGCTTACATTAAATATGTTTTATCATAACCAAGATGTGATAAGCTTCCAAGATTCAAACTAAATTTAGTACAACTTTATACATGTTCTACTAGTAAATGCTTGTTATAGTTACTACTGTAAGTCCTTTTGATAGGTACAAGAACAGCTGTAATTCAAATTCTCGTCTCTCAAGTTACTTCAAGAAACACGTTTCTTGTTCCACAAAGGTTAAGTCTGCCATCTACTGAAGGATCTGCACAGCGTTCTCCAACACAGAAGATTCCTGTGCCATTTCCCCATACATCTATTATTTACTCCTCAGCCATTTACCAGAGTGACTCTGTCATCAATAATCAAAGGTCTCAGACACTAATCAAAGCTGTTCAATGGCTTTTCTTTCTCATTCTAGTCAATCAAAAGTCACATCTGATTATGTGTTAATTTAGAATTAAAAATGCAAATATACCTGATTTCTATTTAATTACTGGTATAAAACATACTTTTGAAAATATAGCATTAGCTTACAATTCTCCATCTTTTACTTTTTTTAGAATTTTATTTAGAAACTTCAATACTGTATTTATGAAAATGCATCAAAGGTTACAATACTAAAGAGAAGAGATACTTAGCCTTCCATCTGTACAACAAACGAAAGCTAGGACAGGCGAACAACTCTAGCATCGTTAGCCTCCTCAGTTCAACAACAAGTCTGGATCTGAACCTGCACGGTGCAAATCTGCATTCATCTCTACCTTCTGGAAATGCTTCCTATTTTGGCCTACATTCACAGTATTTCCTCAAAACAAGATGAACACAGGGAGAAAAGAGTAACAGAACAGAGAAGGAAATGAGGAGGGATGGGCAGAAGGATCAGGTCACTGCTAAGATCCAGTCCAAATGGAGAAAGAGGAACAACTCCAGAGCTAAACAAGAATAAATAAGAATTTAAGATTAGAGAACTGTTAACTGCCACAGGATCCACTGATTTGTTCGTACCCAGGTTAGGCCCCAGCTTCAAAGTGAAAATATAGCTTATAAAGATGTTCATTATAAAATATTAACTGACTTCATCTTTAGGTTGCTACACAAAATGTTACTACATAAAATAATTGCACACAAGGTGAAAAAACACTCAAACCTGCCAAATCAGCAAAGTCTATTTCAAAGCTACTGAAGATTTATTGTATGTAACACTGATATAGTGATCAGTTTATTTTTCATTTGTGTTTTTCTTATAGGTAGCAGTACATACTAGGATTCTATAGGGAATGTATGAAACCACACTATATAGAACACAGGCTCTATACCACTCTTTATACATATTCTTTATGAACTACCAGCTTAAAATTATGCTTTATTATGTAACTGTTTGTAAGCTATCTATCTTTCCCTGTCACTAGTATGAAACAGCAGTAACATATACCTGAGAATTACCTTTACCCTCAAAAACAACTCAGAGCTAGTATGAATATGTATGCAGCATCTAAACTAGAACCACTACTACACACTAGTACAGAAATACAATAATGTTCTTTTTACCATAACCGGAGGTGTAATTAGGGCCCCGACGACCTCTGCCTCTTCCACTATAAGACCTAGAACCTTGTACAGAAGAGACGGTACTTTCATCAGTGGCATATCCTTTCTCTTTTTCAGGCCCTCTGGTGGAAGAAGGTCTGAAACCCATACCAATCTGTCGCAGCTGTTCATCAATCTGAAGGCGTTCCATTCTTAGCTGTTCCACTTCCTACAAACAAAGCAAAGAATTGTTTTTGTTATTTGTGTACATGTACAGGTCAGACCACGTGAGACCTGCAGCAAATACCTTTATCCTACCTTCTGACCCAAGTTCTATACAGGTTTTTTTTCTTGTGTGTATGTGTTAGCCTAGAGCTAGAATTTTACAATCTACCCAAGAAACAAACTGATGTTTGAAATCAAGTCATAAAGCAGCATTGTATACACAATGCCACTTGCTAGTCAACTCAAGAAACACTGAATGCTTTGGAGTGTGTCCAACACATAGCTATATGCATACAGTATAAACACTTCTCTTTCAAGTGACTGTAATAGACTTATCAGTTAATTGCTAATCATATTACTAAATACTGTCCTTTTTTATTAATTCAAGAGCTTATGCATGCATACACACGTCAACGTGTGTGCTACCATGTGCCTGTGGAGATCTAACTACAGTTTGAAGACCTCCTTCCACAATATGGGTTGTAAGGCTTAGCTGCAGATACTTTTGGCCACTGAGCCAGCTCACTGGCCAGATACAGTCTCTGTAACAGGGAGTTAATAGTCTGTTTAAAAGCATTATTAATGAGCTACTTTACTATCAGATTAGCAACATTTTTAATTATTTAGGACCTAGATAGACAAGCAGACTTGTTCACTTAGAAATTGAAGTCCTTGCCGGGCGGTGGTGGCGCACGCCTTAAATCCCAGCACTCGGGAGGCAGAGCCAGGCGAATCTCTGTGAGTTCGAGGCCAGCCTGGGCTACCAAGTGAGTCCCAGGAAAGGCGCAAAGCTACACAGAGAAACCCTGTCTCGAAAAACAAAAAACCAAAAAAGAAATTGAAGTCCTGTAACATATGAAGGTAGCCCGTCTAAACAGAACTATTAGTTTGGAGGTACAATAGATAAGGCATTTGTTTATAAGGCCAGAAATGACAGAACTCAAAGAAACAGAATGACATAAAATACTAGTATAACACTGATCAGAGACTGGATGGATAATATACTAGAAGTAGAGAACATTCTAGGATATTTCTATGATGCTTACTAACTTACAGGCACTTCTATAACTCTTATGCATTATGTTTCAAATCTAACAAATGGGGGCTGAGGGTGTAGCTCAGAGGCCAATTCCTATTTTGTTTACTATGCACTTGGCTTTGGTTTGCATCTCCAGCAACTTACCCCCACCCTTAGAATTGCTGCAACAACATCTATTGGGAACAAGGTAGCTGTTTCAATAAAAGAGATCTCAAAGATACCCAATTTTACCTTGTGTGCAGATGGCTAAAGTGCGAAAATGGAAACAAAGTGTCCCTGATAAAGAGCACACAGCTACTGTAAACAATGACAAACTGTACAAACCCAAACAATGATCAATTTCTTTAAAAGAACCTTAAAAACTTACAGAGAAGAGCTCCCCCACCCCAAAAAAAGTATAAGGGCAAAGAACACTTTATTCTCTAAGTTTTCAACAAAAACCAGGCAAAAACTGAAGTAAATTAAAAATATTTGCCGGGCGGTGGTGGCGCACGCCTTTAATCCCAGCACTTGGGAGGCAGAGCCAGGCGGATCTCTGTGAGTTCGAGGCCAGCCTGGGCTACCAA